CTTGAGGGAGGAGCTATGTTCGGGGCAGTCCAACAGGAGTAAATGACGATAGAATTGCCAATAATTGTTAGAAAGAAAGACATGGCGGTAAAAACCTACAACCTAAGTTGATGCTTTCTACAGAATTGCACCGCGTTCGCCCCCTATCGAGTTCGCCCCTTCGAGTTCGCCCCTACCTTATGCCGTGTTCGCCCCACACTTTTCAAGTTCGACCCCATCAAGTCGAGTTCGCCCCTTGATTGAGTGATATCTAGATGAGTTGATTTGTGACGAAGGCACTAGCAGAATGTGCCAAATGTCACGTCAGCGACGACCATTTTGAATTTCGGCAATTGCGAGGAACCTGCTTGGGAACTGGCTTGACGGAATCAACTAAATACTCTGCGTGGGATCTGGGGTTACCAGAAATAACTGTATACACTGAATTTGTGATAAAGAGAACCACACGGTTTATCTAACGAACACGAAATGTGTTGATCGTAACAACCAGACTTGAGAAGATGCAAACCACGCTTTCATCGCGACAGCATTGCTTAAGTTGTTAGACTTGTACCCGTTTAGCTTTATTTATGAAATTAAGACTGAAGCATTTACTCATCAACTTACGAATCAACTCATCTGGATATCACTCAATCGAGGGGCGAACTCGACTTGATGGGGTCGAACTCGAAAAGTGTGGGGGCGAACACGGTATAAGGTAGGGGCGAACTCGACGGGGCGAACTCGATAGGGGGCGAAAGCGGCGGATACCTTTCTACATGTTCATCAGCAATCAAACATAAATATAGATATAAACTAATACAGTTTGATCTCACTTATTTCTACTACTCATTCTCTAGCTTTCTCAAGTATCTCGACTCCGTCTCAGACTCAAATACTAAAGAAAAGCGTTGGCGCAGGCACAGACTGCATTTGAAATTATGAATGAGTTTTCATTGGGAAAATAGGGATCTTAAACGTGTTAGACAACTGAATTGCACCGCGTTCGCCCCCTATCGAGTACGCCCCTTCGAGTTCGCCCCTACCTTACGCCGTGTTCGCCTCCACACTTTTCGAGTTCGACCCCATCAAGTCGAGTTCGCCCCTTGATTGAGTGATATCCAGATGAGTTGATTTGTGACGAAGGCACTAGCAGAATGTGCCAAATGTCACGTCAGCGACGACCATTTTGAATTTCGGCAATTGCGTGGAACCTGCTTGGGATCTGGGGTTACTATAAATAACTGTATACACTGAACTTGTGATAAAGAGAACCACGCTTAATCAAAACAACATTGCTTAACTTATTATTCAGACTGGAAAAGATGTAAAACAACTTCGGTTTATCTAACGAACACGAAATGTGTTGATCGTAACAACCAGACTTGAGAAGATGCAAACCATGCTTCCATTGTGACAGCATTGCCTAAGTTGTTAGACTTGTACCTGTTTAGCTTTATTTATGAAGTTAAGACTGAAGAATTTACGAAAGCACGATTTGATCACGCTTTTGATTACTTAAGACTTCTTGAGAGAATGCGTTGCACACTTCATTGTGTTTTCGGTCATAGCAACCAGAATTGAGAAGATGCAAACCACGCTTTCATCGCGACAGCATTGCTTAAGTTGTTAGACTTGCACCTCGTTTAACTTTACTTATGAAATTAAGATTGAAGAATTTACGAAACCACGATTTCATCACGCTTTTGATTATTTAAGACTTCTTGAGAGAATGCGTTGCACGCTTCATTGTGTTTTAAGGTCATAGCAACCAGACTTGAGAAAATGCAAACCAGGATTGCAAACCACACTTTCATCGCATTGTGTTGATCATAACAACCAGACTTGAAAAGATGCTACTAGCCCCATACTATTGTAAAACAAATCTGTTTTCCCAATGGCAATCTATTGTTTTTGTCATTGTTTTCTCTATCCAAGAACTGAATGCATGATGTAGTATGGGGCTGTGCGGAAATTTTACTGACGGAGGCAATGCCACAATGCCAAAAGAGAGGAAGGTCGACTAGGGTAAAATACTTCATCTTCTCCATTATCAATAAGTCTATCGCTTGCAGTCGTTGAAAAACAGTTTTTGTAAAAACATTAACATGGATTTCTTCATCGTCTGCGATCAAATCGTTCGTCCTCGTCAAGAAGCCCTCCTTTGCGACGGATTTGAACGTTGGCAACACCGCACCTGCCAAACTGGCATCAGCCAGCAAGACTACCGTGGGGCAGTCCGTTCTGGCGAATCAATCAATTGGCACTATGAAGATTGCGAGGGTTACCCCCGAAGCAGTACCCCGGTGTTATTTTCCGATTACGACTTTCAGTCTATGATACGTTCAATAAATCCTGAGCTTGACTGCGATGACTTCGATACTCCTCCTGCTACGCCTTCTAAGCCTCCTGCATTTGATGAGTCGTCGCTAATGGAGCCTTCAGCCACAGACTCGGGACCAGCCAGCTTCGAGATCGAGTTTGAGATCGTGGACGATTCCACAAAGCGGGGCCGAAACAAGCTGGTGGACAGCCGTGGTTACACGTACAACGTTAAAAGACGTCGAGGCGGAAACACTGATTGGCAGTGCACCGTTAGACCAAAGGTACCCACAGTTTTACATTCTTTTCTTTGACTAAATGTAATCGTTGTAATTTATGTTCTCCATAGGGTAATGGGCACGTCTGTACAGCTACTGATTGTTGTAATTTATGTTCTCCATAGGGTAATGTCTGTAGAGCTACGGTAGTTGAGTGGGCGTCAGGTGAACTTGTCTTGGGCCCCACGCCGCACAATCACCCAGGGCAAGTGGGCGCAGGCTTAGCAGCCCGGATAATTACAAAGACGAAAAAGGAGGCTGTCACGAATTTGTTTAAGCCGGCGTCTGCAATTGTTAACGAGACTCCATACGTATTGACGAAATCAACTAGTTAGCCTAGTTAATCATCAAATAGAGACTCATCTTTAAATTATTAACATAAAGCTAAAAACTTCAGTTTTTGGCTCAAATCGTGAATGCTACCTTCTTTCAGTCCACAAAATTATTTAAGAAGACTCAACTCAATTAACTTTAACTGCATTGTTCTTTGGAGGACTTTGCAAGTATCATTTCTCCTAAGATACTGAAAATTTGGAAAATAGCCCATTCGTTTTATAAGTCAATATTCGCAGTAACGCCGCTAACTATTCTTCACTCACGATTATCAGTAGACTGATGAAAACCCGAAATTGCACCATAGTCTAACTTGACAAGGATAAAGGGATAGGCACATTGCCAAGAAAGATAAGACAGATGGTAAATTTGTACTTCTAACGTGGGAAAGATAATTATTTTAACAGAAAGATGTCACAAATAAAATCGAATACAATAAAATCTCAGGTCAGAGGCTTTCGTGTTCTGCCCAACAGAGAATTCATCAGTAAGCTTAGTCCTCATCTCGTGATAAAGCAAAGATCGTAGCTTTTCCGTCCTTTATTTAGATGCGTTCCGGTGGATAAACAGATACACACTTTTTGAAGATGCCCACTTCCTATGTGGCTCATTACTAAACTAGATAAGACAAATTTTTGTTACCTTTTTGACTTAAAATTGAGTGTAAATAGCTTCTTTATCACATTCCGGTTCTTTTCCTTCGTCAAGAGGGAAGAATCCTCGGTCGTTTAACTCGCAGGTTCCCTTGGTTTTGGAAACTTTTCTGAAATTTGTTGAAACGCATCGAGGGTCCCTCTGACATGGCAAACCACAGGATACCAAGCTTGCAAGGTGAAATGTTTTAAGCGTGACGCGATGATTGTGAGTTATCACAGGACAAGAAAGAGACGCTTCCTTACAAAGAAATGCTTCAGATGCTACGACTTTGGGCATTGATAACACAACTAGAACAGCACACAGATAAAAATTCATTTCGTTCTGTTTTTTTGGTCGACACTGCGCCTTAGGTGCGTATAATCAGCTTTATAACAGCTTCGGGAAGATTTTAATTAAATACCTGAATAACGAAAAGAAATTCATATGAAGAGGACGCAGTTTATAACTAATTTGAATATAAAATCATGTTGCGGCAACAGTCGGTATGATTGTTTTTTCACGAGGAAAAATAGCAATAGAAAACCATTATTTACCTGTGGCCATGTCTTCTGCAGTTGCAAATGTTGTATACGTGAGTTTAATCTTTATTCAATAAACAGCAATGAGACAAAATTTAAAATTGAGCTCTCCGATAATACAATACGTGCATTGTCAAAATGACGTCATATCCCACCATGAGTGAGATGCTCTTGGCGGACAAAGCCATGCTCACCAGCCGTTTTCCTGCACGAAGAATTGCAGGTTCGAATCCTACTAAAAACACGTGTCACAATTTGATTAATGAAGAAACTATAATGTCAGACTCGTCCATTGTAAAAATTCCGAGACTTTCAATGATTTCGTGATGGTTTTATGTGTTTCCATAAATCTCTCATGGCCATATTTGCTCTAAAAAGTCGAAACCTTTAGGGTTGTAATAACTTCCTTTATTGTGCAATTATTTCTCAACAATTCCTGAGCGTTAAATCTGACTAGTTGAGTACCATTTACTCGCAAGGTTCATTTGCTTACAAATTTAACTGGGGGTACTTACTTTATTCAATAATTTTATCAGTCACAACTGCTAAAAACTTCTTAACGGCATGCAAACTCGTCAAAGGTTTCTTGTCGCTTAATGAACACACGTGTCTCTTTCCTACGATACAAGATTTATTACTTTGTTAAATTGGTGAAGAGAGTATGATATATTATACATTTTCACGAGAGATTGGTTTGTTTTCACAATCGGTTCTCGTTAGGCACTGATCGAGGTTGATCGAACACGAGTCTCCAAAAGAGCACGTTCGCTCGTTCGTTTTTACAGGTGCGTCTTAATGTGCTGCCATTGGTGCATATCCCTCACATTACGAATTATAACGACTATTAAGCTAAAACGACCAATAATTAATTAATCAAGCTGCTGTTGTATTTTGTAATCCACAAACAAAAATCATTTTGGATTAGTCATAGAAGGGATTGACTTGCAGTGATGTTTCTTGCAAACAGCTGTTATTCTATATGAAAAATAAGGAAACAAAAACAGTATTAACAAGCATGTAAAAGATAGTTTCTGGTTGTTTTTTTCTCGATTCCCCTGCCTTGACCGTCAGACTTTCAGGGTCTGATTGATAATTCACCTTTTCGACGTTAGATTTCACGCGTAGTGTCACGAGACTTCTGATGCTTACGATACGTAACCAACGATCATCGAATAGGCAATAATCTTCAAATGATTTATAAGCGCGAGTCCATGCCTGACTCGGTGGAGTTGTAAATCAAATGATTAAAAATATCCTACAATCCAAACGGCTGCAAAGCGTTAAAATTGTTCACAGTCTTCAAAAAAACTAGATTGAGAATAAATATATCATGAATTATTGATTTGCCTGAAGTAGTGGCGTCGTCTTTTTCGAAATTTGGACACACTAATAGAACCATGTTTTCGACTGCGGAGGCGATTTCCACACACAAAGTTGTGAAATATCTGCTCACTAAAATGCCCCGTTTCTGCAGATATTTTTAGTTTCTACCCCATTCATAGCGTTGAAATCGTCTCAAATTTTGTGGTCTGCTATTCTAAGCTACAACTGCTCTTGAAGATTGAACTGAATTTGGCAGGATTTCCCCTTTGCGTTACATAAAACATTCCACGCAATACGATGTTAAACGAAATCCTGTGTGGGAATCCAGGCTTGATCACGAGTACGTTCTACAGCGATTCGTGGGCAATAATCTCCTATCAGGCGTGGTTTTATTGAACAATCAACTCGCTTAACGCCCTGAAATTACCTGAGAAGATACATCACAGTACTCAGAATTTTTTTTTTATTACTCCATGGCGAGACAAATGGAAGCTATTTACGACAAAATGCCGAAGCCGAAGTTCGGACTCGAGCCGTGGGTAGTTGACTCAAAGTTAAACTTTTGCGGTTTCTTTACATCACAAGTCACGTGACACTACAAGTGCAATCTAACGCCGAAAACGTGAATTCTTCCCTTCAGTTATAACGTTTGTACTTTTAAACAACTAAAGAGAATTTGGTTTTCTATCAAAAACAAATAATGTATTTCAGTTTAAAAAAAAAAAAAATTGGTGTTGGGGATGTTATGTGAAATGAGCTCTATCGATGACATATGACAATCACGCGCAAAACCCAAAGGGCAACTGGCCTTAAACCGGGGCTCGCTTTGGTTTCTGAGCACTGCTAGCGCTCTTAACTCCCAGAAGTGATTAACAGGAAACTTTTTCCCAAAATATCCATACATATATCTAGCCTGATCTAACACCTAATTCTTGTACCTGATTTGCAAGGAATGTGTAGCGGCTAGACGGGAGAATTAGCATGAAGATCTTGGGAGCTAAAGGGTTAAATGTAATGTCAGTCCATTACAGCTTACCCTTACCCAACGCACACCTTCCGTCTCCCAGAATACGTTTTTCACAAAAATCTCGGCCATTGCTACACGATTGGACCAGCAGGTTACCTTAACAAGAATAAAGCTCAATCCTCATAGCGATCGCCCCATTCCATTCCATCGGAAGAACTCGAACATAGCGAACATAAATAAGCGGGTTAAGATCGTGGTAAACTACTGTGTCTCTGTTCTTGTTTCCTGGGAAAACCTGAGTAGAATATATTTGGGCGTAAAATTAACGAGCGTAAGTTTTTTTTTTTTTTTTTTTTTTTTTTTAACAGTACGAATTACTCTTAACCTATAACTTCCGTGAATGCTTTTCTGTAGGTTCAATGACAGATAGTATATGGCCCAGCCTAGTGTAACTGCTTTGTGGCTCAGGGGATGAGAATCAGAATGCAGAATACAAAAAGGTTCTATTCCTCATGGGGACTTTTTCTCCACAAAAAGGTTTGTTCAATTAAGCATATTTTTTCATACCGTGTCTGATATGTCTCCGTTTCGCTTGTAAACTCTGAAAGTTTGTCCATCATCGCCATATTGTAGCTTGTATTTAGTAACCCACCTATCGAGATCATGTCTCCCCTGCGTCGCTATGCCCATTACCCTTGTGGTTTGCTGAAGATCCACTTGCAGCCATTGGTTGGTGTTTTTCACATCAGGTACCCAGCCAGCACCTCTAAGCGGGTTTTCGGATCCTTTGAAATGTAATCTAGCATTCGATGCGGCATGTTTAAAATTATACAAGGAGGAAGCGGTGATCTGTGAGTCAAAAATAGCACCGCTTTCCATGCCGAGGGGAACTGGGGCTTTTGGTGATTCACCTGAAATTGAGACAGAGAAATGCAATCGCACAGACATTGATTTGTTTTATTATGGAATAAAGGAGAATTTTGAAAACGGTTGAATAGAAATGAAGGAGGATTTTGAAAACGGTTGAATAGAAATGAAGGAGGATTTTGAAAACGGTTGAATAGAAATGAAGGAGGATTTTGAAAACGGTTTAATAGAAATGAAGGAGGATTTTGAAAACTGTTAAATAGAAATAAAGGAGGATTTTGAAAACGGTTAAATAGAAATAAAGGAGGATTTTGAAAACTGTTAAATAGAAATAAAGGAGGATTTTGAAAACGGTTAAATAGAAATAAAGGAGGATTTTGAAAACGGTTAAATAGAAATAAAGGAGGATTTTGAAAACGGTTTAATAGAAATAAAGGAGGATTTTGAAAACGGTTAAATAGAAATAAAGGAGGATTTTGAAAACGGTTTAATAGAAATAAAGGAGGATTTTGAAAACGGTTAAATAATAATAAAGGAGGATTTTGAAAACGGTTAAATAGAAATGAAGGAGGATTTTGAAAACGGTTAAATAATAATAAAGGAGGATTTTGAAAACGGTTGAATAGCAATGAAGGAGGATTTTGAAAACGGTTTAATAGAAATGTAAAAGTAAGTGCAGTTTCACCTTTTATCTGAAGCATTATAATAAAAAAAGTTTGACAAAAATAAAAACTTTCGCGTGAGTTAAATCTCCCCGACTTAGAAGTGATGGTCGAAGCTCTATGATAAATGACCCAAAACGGTTCAAATTTACTACAGCACCTTTGGAGTACCCAGAGGTTTTTGAATCACTGGAGTCTATCTTGTCTAATTCCTGGATATGTTTAAATTGCTTCCCATATTGATGACTCGACGCTATCGTGTTTTCGCGATGCATTTTGTTGGCACATCAGCATTTGAAGTTGTGAATGACGCAGTGAGGGTCCTCAGCTTCTTCAGCAGTTTCTTGTTTCCTTAACCCTTCAGTGCCCAAGATCTCATTATTAATTCTCCTTACTGTCTGCTATACGACTCTTATGATGCTAGTTCTGAGAACTTGGTACTGGATCAACTAGAAAATCCTCAAACTTATCTTTTTCGTTATTCTCATCACCTGTCTGATTGATATTGTATGGTTATTGTAAGGAGAAATTCTGTCTTGGTCACTCATGGGAATTAAAGGCTTGATTTCTATTTTAATTTAGAAGTAACTTAGGCAACAGTTTCCTTAGCAATTTTTTTGACAGCATTCGAGGACTTTCAAGGAAACCGTAAGAATCGAAATGTTTCAAGCAGGTTCGGGGAATTTTTGTAAGGGTCCGCGAAGGTTCGCGAAGACGACAGATTCCGTAACTATTGGCAGAGAGACAAGAAGCAGCCGGGACAAGTAACTCATTGTAATTTAAACACGTAGTCGTTGACTTTAATCTCAAGAATACCATTCAAACCAACGCTACTTACATTTGCAGTTGACGACTTTTAAATGTTCCTTGAAGGCCTGACAGTGGTGCTGAAAACAAAAAAATCATTCATTTTTTATTTTATCGGGAAATCAATAAGTCTTCCGGGTTCATCACCGTATGGAGACTGCACAAGTGAGCTAATTGAAGGCCTTTAGATTCATCTTGAAAGTTTTAGCTTCAAGCTAAAATTTTATTCTGAATTTTGTGTACTAAATCCGTATGACCTATTTTCGGTCCACCTGAATTTATTCAAGAACTTTCAACTTAAAATATATTTAACTTTATTGAGCTTCGGAGCAGTTTGCATATATTGACTCCAATGATACCGAGATTTAAATTCCCACTTAGCAAAAATTTCTCATTTTACTTTAAACCACAGTACAACATTTTGATTATCAGCACTCAGTGAAATGTGGTCCATTCGCCTTTAAAAGAAAAAGATGAAAAACCACCATTTTACCTGCATACACGTCAAACTAGTTTACGACCAAACGATAAAAACATTCAAAGAAACATATGACAGATGGAAATTTTTTACATCTGTCGTCGAAATATGAAGATTTTATGAGGAAGATACCACGAACTAAAGACAAGTGTCTCCAGGAATCAATAATACCTCCTTCTTGGTCTATTATCGAGACTTTTTTGTTACCTTCGTGTCGTAAAATTGAGTGTAAATCACTTCTTCGTCGTATTCCAATTCGTTTCCTTTCTCAGTAAGGAGAGCTCCTCTGTCGTTCAACTCACAGGTTCCCTCACTTTTGAAAACTTTTCTGAAATTTGTTGAAACGCATCGAGGGTCTCTCTGACATAGCAAACCACAGGATATCAGGCTTGCAGGCTTCAATGTTTTGAACGTGAAGCCTTTAAGTCGGCGATGATTGCGAGTTATCACAGGACAAGAAAGAGACGCTTCCTTACAAAGAATAGCCTGAGATACTTCGACTTCAGATATTAATAACCCAACTAGAACACCACACAGAAAAAAATTCATTTGGTTTTTTTTCCCGGTCGAGACTTTGCCTTCGGTGTGTACACGCAGCTTTGTAAAAGCTTCGAAAATATTTCAATTAATTTAAAAGGAGTTCAGAGACGTTTATTTAATATTTTTCTTTCCAATCGTAGTCAAGTGGAAAGGATGTTCTGAGAGCTGAATAAAAGAATGATTAATATTGTAATCGTTCATTATATATTAAAGAGACATATTTTAAACACTGAAATATATCATCTTATTCAAGGAATGAAAAATAAAACCAAAAACAAACAAAAAATGTGAATTTTACATTCCCTTAAAATACAAATCTAGTTTATCAGTTGTTGTCATTTAAATTTTCTGGTCAACTCCAGAAGCCTCATTGTCTTTGTGAAGTTAATAATTGATACTTAGTTAAAACATCAGATCAACTTTATCAATTGTTATCATTCAAATGTTTTTGTGAACTATAGAAGCATCGTCACTTATTGTCTAAAAAAAAACTCTCTTCGTAACCAACACATATTCTCATAAATAAGAGTAATAGACTGAAACGCATCGAGGGTCTCTCTGGCAAACCACAGGATATCAGGCTTGCAAGATGAAATATTTTGAGCGTGAAGCCTTAAGTCACAAAAAAAATTCATTTGGTTTTTTTTTTTTCTTCTTAGCGCATTAGATAAATAGCGCTTTAGATCATATCCACATGTATTTTGCGCTAATAATAAGTAATAAATTGTTATTATTATTTCGGTCGAGACTTTGCCTTCGGTGTGTACACGCAGTTTTGTAAAAGCTTCGAAAATATTTCAATTAATATGAAAAGAGTTCAGAGACGTTTATAAAATTTTTTTTTTCCAATTATAGTCAAGTGGAAAGGATGCTCTGAGAGCTGAATAAAAGAATGATTAATATTGTAATCGTTCATTATATGTTAAAGAGACATATTTGTCCGTGCGAAGTGTTAATTACGTCAGCCATTTCTGTCTGAATAAACACTGAAATATATCATCTTATTCAAGGAATGAAAAATAAAACCAAAAACAAAAAAAAATGTGAATTTCGCCTTCCCTTAAAATACAAATCTAGTTTATCAGTTGTTGTCATTTAAATTTTCTGGTCAACTCCAGAAGCCTCATTGTCTTTGTGAAGTTAATAATTGATACTTAGTTAAAATATCAGATCCACTTTATCCATTGTTATCATTCAAATGTTTTTGTGAACTATAGAAGCATCAATGCCGTTGTTGAAATGGTAATTGGTATCCGGCAGTTTCTTTATAATTTAATCGGCACTTATTGTCTTAAAAAAAACTCTTTTCGTAACCAACACATATTCTCGTAAATAAGAGTAATAGACTGAAACGCATCGAGGGTCTCCGGCAAACCACAGGATATCATGCTTGCCAGATGAAATATTTTGACCGTGAAGCCTTAAGTCACAGATAAATAGCGCACTAGATAAATAGCGCTTTAGATCATATCCACATGTATTTTGCGCTATATATAAGTAATAAATTATTATTATCATTATCATTATTATTTCGGTCGAGACTTTGCCTTCGGTGCGTACACGCAGTTTTGTAAAAGATTCGAAAATATCTCAATTAATATAAAAAGAGTTTAGAGACGTTTATAAAAATTTTTCCAACTATAGTCAAGTGGAAAGGATGCTCTGAGAGCTGAATAACAGAATAATTAATAGCGAAAGGTGTTTTTTCTTCTTGTCACGAGCGTGGGACACAGAAAAAATTCTGAGTACCAATGAGGAATCGAACCTCAGACCTTTAGATTCCACGCTCTGATACCCTAGCCACTGAACAACAGAGACTCCACGGTGAGCGAAGTCTATTACGACATTCATATGACATGTTTCCTGTATACTGCTGAGGTCAGCAATGTTTAAAGCGTAATGTTTGTTGATATAAATAAGAGAGATGGTAAATTTTCGAGCACCGGAGCGCCTAATACGAAGGTCTGAGGTTTGACTCCTTATGGGAACTCAGAATTTTTTCTTTTTTTTCTTTGTCCCACGCTCGTGACATGACGAAAAAACATCTTTCTCTATATCCTTACCGAGCTCAAAACTTACCATCTCTCTCATTTCTAGAATAATTAATATTGTAATCGTTCATTATATGTTAGACATATTTGTCCGTGCGAAGTGTTAATTTTGTCAGTTATTTCTGTCTGAATAAACACTGAAATATATCAACTTATTCAAGGAAAGAAAAATAAAAACAAAAAAATGGTGAATTATGACTTCCGTTAAAATTCAAATCTAGTTCATCAGTTGTTGTGATTTAAATTTTCTTGTCAACTCTAGAAGCCTCATTGCCGCTGTGAAGTTAATCATTGATACTTAGTTAAAATTTCAGATTCAGATTATCGATTGTTATTATTAAAATGTTATTGTGAACTATAGAAGCTTCAATGCCGTTTTTGAAATAGTAATGGATATCCAGAAGTGTCTTTATAATTTATTCAGCGCTTATTTTCTTAAAAGAAAAACTCTCTTCGTAACCAACACTTATTCTCAGAATAAAACACACTTTGTAGTAAACTACACATAGCCAGTTACACTTGAGCTGAGGATAAATGCGATTCGACTTCCAGCCATATTCTGCATAAATAGGCAGCTGATCTTTCTAAACTCTTGGCATCTTATTGGGTTGCCGCAAATGAAAACTCTTTTCTCTCATATCGCTATACATATACTTGCATAATAGCCGACTATCAGGATTCACCTTTAAATCTTTTATTCTGTAAGCTTAGCATCCCACGGATTGCAATGTCAAAGAAGTTAGGTTAGGTTTCAGTGAAGTCGCCTTCGTTTGTGTGATACATTCGGATTCAACGCTAAAAATTCAAAGAGTCACAAGCATTGAGTAGGAAAAATTTAAAGTCTACCCAGGCCGGAAAATGAACTAATTTTAGATAGCTTATATAAACAATGTTGTTATTTTCGTTCACAGTATATAAGCTGTCAAGAAGTTGAAACATAGCACGGCAGTTCGTGCTGAGAACTAACACACTGAAAAGATTAGACCTATCAGCAAAGTACCAACAACATCTGCATATCAGAGAGCATTGTGGTATTACTGCAAAAGTGCGTGCCATTTATTTCATGAGGATGGATAAAAACAAAATAAACATCTTATGTGCTTAAGTCTAAAAAAGCCGTCCACCCCCTTGTTCACAATGGCTGCCGGCGTATCCATCGGAACAGGTGCACTTGTACTCATTAGCAATATTCCTGCGCAATCCACCCTTTAGATGTCTGCGCAAAATAGAAGACTGTAATTACAGATACAGATACAGATACAGACCTTTATTGAAGCTCCCTGAATGATTTTTTCAGCAACAATATAAAGGTTAAAAGAAATAAAACTAAAATTGAAGAATATAAAACTATAGTTACAGCTAAATATATATATCAAAAGAATAAAAATATTGAATGATGAAACTAACCTAATAGCAGCTTGCTACGTAAAATTGTTGCGTAACTGTTCAGAAGTTTCGTGAGTATGCTTATTTAAGCCTGGAAGTTTCTTGAATATTTAATCAGTTTCGCACCACTGCGCATCGGTAGTTTTTCAAGTCCGTGTAAAATGCTGTAAATAGTAAAACGTCGGAATGCTACTATAATTAGGTTGGCCGGAAAGTTCCAGAATCTCATGCTGTTAAGTATTATTTGTTTTTCACCAGCTAAGTAGTGTGACAGAGGTAGAGGTTACTCAAAAGTGTGACTGAGATTGAGTTTAACGACAGTTGTGATTATTTGAAGTTTGGCAGAGAACGTATATCAGTATTTACTGTGACGATTTGGAATAAATCATCTTTGTTGCTGTTCCGACATCCCTGCGTTCTGTTTAGCTACAGACAATCATTTCCACTTAACAATCACTCGTAACGCAGCTAAGTACATTGAAACGTAAATTTCTTGGGACATTTTAAACACTTAAGATTGCTGCTTAATGAGTTACACAGTTTCGCTCCTCTATAAGCAAAAGATCTCTGACCAGTTGACAGGCAGCAAAAGGGTTTATCCAGGGTACTTGCTGATCGAGTTTGC